AAAAGTAAATCGGTCCCGTGTTCAGGTCTTACAATGAGACCTACGGTAATCGCCTCTTCCCTATGTGGAAAAACTTCCAAAAACCAGCCTATTGTGAAACTGGAATTTGTATGTTGCTATTCTAATAAAATGAACTTAGATTTTGAAAGTATTACAAAAGCTAAATAAATCAAAATGCTAAGGCTAATTTGTAAAACCTAACATTAATTTTCGTTATGAGTGTAGTGTTAATTAATTACTAATTATAACTTGTTTCAAGTCGTAAACATTAGATTCCATAGATTTAAATAAAGGTACGTTAAGGATCGAGCACAAATCATTTAGTTTTCCAGTTCGAAAGATTTGGATTTAAGTAGTTTTTCAATACTTTCTCGGCCATCGTTGGAACTTTTAATGGATAACAGTGAAAGTTAACTCTTACAAGGTAACTCTCAGAGTTAATAGTAACATTGTTTCACTTGTAAAATTAAAATCTACTCCTGTAAATAAATTTAATTTATTTTCTACTCACAAACTATGAATGTGTAAATTTTGGCAAGGGACAGATATGAATAGTTTTATATCTTGTGAAATTTCTTTGATCAATTAATAAATTTCAGAAGTATGTTTAAATTTTTCTTGCGGATCACAAGGATAATTTTCAAAATGGTGTGTTCGATTTTCTAATATAGTGTGTTCGATTTCGGTTTGAATAAAGGACATGAAACGGTAAACACACCATATAATTGTCTTTTTTTGCTCTAGGAGAATGTTTATAAATAAAGAAGTATGCAGATTCTATGATCATATCTAGATAGAAATTATGGATATGACTATTTCATGGCTACTCGAACAAAGAATATTCGGCTAAGGATGGTAGGTGGTGGTCGATTTCGATTGGACACTCCAATCATCATCAGACCCCATAAGGCAAACGAACTTCAACATATGTTTTAAGTGTTGTAAGAATTTTAAGAATTTTTTTAATGAATTAGTAGTATTAGTTTTGGTAACATGTCATAAAACATAAACTAATGAGATAAAAAACCGGTTAGCTGATATATTTTGTTGAAACATATATACTGTAGTTGTAACAAAAAACTGAATTAGCAAAATCTTAAAACAATAGAAAATGTATAGATCCAAAATACTTAGTAAAAAATAACTACTTGGTATATTTAAATTTATTTTGTGTACAACTACCCTCTGTGAACCAAATGCAGTTACGCCTGCCTTTGAAGCTTATAATTTAACTAATTTCTTGAACACATTTTGCAGATTACAGTATAGAGGTACCCGTAAGTTTATATTTTCTTTTAACCATTCTAGAAAATCTTTGATGTACAGCGACAATTGTTGATGAAAGAGGTTCATTGTCCTCAGCTTAAGTTAAAACAGTACCTTTACAACCCCTAAATTCCTGTATGAGGGTGCGGGCTATTTACTTGTTAAAATGGAGGAATTCTGGTTTGGAGGTGTAAATTCAATTTTCGTCAATCGTCAATGAATTTATTCATGCATTCATTTCAATTAGGTTTGAAGTACACCTTAGGGTTTACATACTAGGAAAAAAATCAAGTTTAACTCAAGGAAAACCTCTCCATATTGGAAAATTCCTCTCAAAACTATACAAGTTATAACATAAAACCCAGTAGTTCAAAGTATATTTTAAGTTGTATGGCCAATTTCAAATATGAAAATAGCACTTAGGTGAGAAGATATTTTCGGCACTGGAGAAATCGAATATATAAACATTCGCCTATAAAATATTTCATTAGTTTTACTTTACAAGTACATTTTGTAGCCAATGCTTGTTTTTTTCCTGAACTGTAAATGTGTCAAATAACACGTCACCACAGATTGTACGTGAGGACCTCTTAGGGTTCTCCTGAAGGGGACAAATCAAGTTGTTTGTTTCAATCTAACGAATTGGCTGCAACATTGACAGCCCCTTTTATCTCCACAACGTTGTTGTGTTCAGTTGTATCTAAGTATAGCTCGGGCCAGTTTAGGTCTATCTATCTATACTATTATAAAGTTGAGGTGGTGTCTGTCTGTGTGGCTGTAACGGCTAAAATACTAAACCAATACAGCCAAAGATTTACCACAAAGATGGTCCATTAGGAACGTCATAGGACCACTCACTTCCTCGAGTTCCCTACGGGCTTCGCCCCGTGGATGTCTGAGGTTTTGAGGTTAGGTTTTCAAAAGTAAATATTGATTGGTCTCCATGGAGTGAGAAAATCCATTATGTTTATCTTTGCTTTGACATTTCAATGTAAACAAAAAGAACTGCCAAATGCTAATTTTACAATTTCAGACAGGTGATCCAAAGAAATTAAATATAGTTTACACAACTATGTGTTAGAATTATTTCATCTTAAACTTTATCATGGATCATATTTATTCTAAACCTATTTCAATAATTATGAAACAGATCTTTCTTCCTGATGCGAAAACATTAAAACAAAATTTATAAAAAAATATGTGGCTCGGCATTTTAAGAAACTAAAATGTATTAAAGAAATATTAAAGATAATATTAAATATTATTGAGGAGATTACGGGAGGAAATTGGTATAGATGATTGACAAGGTAAACTTTAGCCTAATACACCTGATAATCAATCAAAACTTTCCTTCTACTCCGAGGGATTAAAATGACAAGTTTGAAACATTAATTTAGTCAGTAAATTGAATGAAGCATATCTAGTATAAAAAATAATAATACTTGTAATATATTGTGTAATACAACACACAACACAATAAAAAGTGTTTAAAAAGAATAATACTTGTAATATGTTGTGTATTACACAATATACACAATATATTACAAGTATTATTCTTTACCACATATGTTTTATGTGTACATTTATTGACTTGGTGTACACTATTTTATTTAAAAGCTTAACAATTATAACTCTAAAAAGTTCATAACAAGAAAGTGTACAAAAATGCCATTAATTAGTTACTATTTAAAACTTTTTCGTTTATTAATTTTTGTTCCTAGTATGCTTTAAGTAATTATTAAAGGTCGGCAGTAAGAAATGGTCATGAGGTCTAAGTACGTCATAATTCTGCGTCAGTAAAAAAAATTTATTTATCGCAATCCATATTTAATCCAGGCTAAAGGATGTCAAAAAAGTAGTGGAGGTTTTTAGCGGGTTGTAGGATTGGTCTTATAAGTAGTCCCACACTATAAGGCCTGAAAAATATGTTTCAATTTGTGATTAAACCCATGCTATCCTAAGATGAAAACAGTAGGAAAGGACCATAAGATCCTAATTTAACTTCAAAACGTTTATCTCAGCATCTTAAATTAAATCTCTTGACAACATAAAGGACAAATGTACATACTACAAATCAGGTTTGTTGATTTCAAAATAATCAGTATCACAGAGTATAATTCAAATATAAATTATACACGATGGTAATGGTTCACGTTATTCGTAGACTACTACTCTAAGTATTCAATGCAAACGCTTTTACATATTTGATTTTCACTGGAGGTGGAATAAGATGTCGTATCTGTGAAAACACTTCGTTTCACAATGTGAAGTCTGTATTTGATTCAGTCGCGTGACTGGATTAAAAACAAATCAAGTGTTGAAATCCATCCTTACTTACATCGTTTTTCCCCAAAAAGAAATACTAGTTTGTTTGATTTTTTCTAGAACTAATATTAACTCATCTATATTATCAAAAGAGTTTGATGGATTTTTGTGTGCAGAAAATTTACCCCTAAATATTTATTTTTATAGACACATTGGGTATCAATTTAAAGCTCTTATCTTCTAGAAGTGCCTTTTGTGGGTTTGAATGGTATTCCGTGAAAGCCCTTCGTCCTATAGGCTTTTAAAATTTCGTAGTTTGTGCTGAATTCTGTTGTCAATCATCTAAAAATTTTCAAGTTTACATTTGTTACATCAAAACATATGGCCATGATACAATTTTGTTCGTATCCATATGAAAAGGGGGTTATAGTGAGTTCGAGTAAAATGTTGTAATGTTATTTGTATAAAATGTAAAGAAGAAAATGACTGACGTAAGATTTTGTGTTGTGATAGGATTTTGTGTTTTCATAGTATGTTATATTGATATTTTTGGGAATTCAAATAAAATATTGTAATTATTGTAAAATTGTAATTTGTTTCAAATTTAAAGAAGAAAGTTACTTAGGTCATATTTTGTGTTTTCATATTATGTTTCATTGTCAGTTGTAATTTTTTTAAGATACCTCGAAGAGATCGTGCACGCAATGCAAATAATAGGGATATGATGAGAAATAATCGTTTTCACCCTTATCATTTATACATAAAATATATCACGTATTTTTTAGTCATGAAGTGACACAGGTTTCTAGTAGCACTTAAATAAATACCTGTAACGATTAATTTTGATTTTGTACAACTAAATTAATTTGAAATGTATACAATTGAAATTATGGAATCGAATTCAAAGCGAATTAATAACTTTAATGTACTCATAAAGGGTTGCGCTTTTTTGTACTCTTTATTACTATAAAAAAGTATAAACGAAATACTGTGTTTTCAAACACATTTTCAAGAAAGATATTTACGAAAATACTCTAGAATTTGGTCATAAGGGTAAGGGTTTACGTCCTAAACAAACCATTTTGAGAGCACCGAACGTGCAGTGGGAATTGGTTCCTTTCAGGGGGAAAATTGTACGCATACTATGGAAATTGAACGTCCGGTGAAACAAATGACCTTCAAACCTGCCTTCACGTGGAAAATGTGTAGGCAATTTTTCCATGAATAGTAATATTTTTTATAATCTCTCGTGTGTTTAATATATCTTAGTTGTACCATGAGACCCTTGAGCCGTATATGGATCTTTTTTCTGGATCCATTTTTTTACAAAAAAACACATATTGTGCATCAGCGCACTTAAAACCTGAGCGAACATGTAAGACACGTTAAAATAAGCTTCATATTTTTTTTACACTAGGACGAAAAGTCTAGTTGTAACGTATAAATCTATATTAATTTTTTTTTTTCAGAGCATGCTGGTGTTCCGATTGAGTTTGAGATAAAGGTAAGACGAGATGATCCGTTATTAGATGTATACGATCTTTTCCTAGGACCCTAGGCTTCAACCAGGATTTTTTCCACGTTGTTTTAGGCTGGTTTTGGGGTTGTCTTAGGGCACTTTAGGTTGTCTTAGGGTACTTTAGGTTGTCTTAGGGTACTTTAGGTTGTCTTAGGGTACATTAGGTTGTCTTAGTGTACTTTAGGTTGTCTTAGGTGAGTGAGCTGGTCTAGTGGTAGAGCGCGGGGTTTTGGTACCCGAGGTCCAGGGTTCAAATCCTGCCAATCACCAATGGATTTTATCTGAGTAATGCCGCAACCCACTAGGACTAGCCTAAAGTAAACTGTTAACAGTTCCAGGCTAGAACTGGTGTCCTATGGGTTGTGGCAATATTCACATTGAATTTAGTTTTTTTTAAGGGGAGATACTTTTGACTTTATATTTTTGGAAGACTTCTCCGTAAGTACATTGTATTGAATAATTTCACATCTTCAAATATCTCTGATGGCTAAATAAATAAGACATTAAGATATAGGCTATTTAGGCCTACAGCTATAAATATAGAACAAATCCATGTGTATTGTGTTAGGTTGACAATTTTTACCAACTGAGAGTTATTAAGTAACTCATCACTTTACCAAGTCTACTTGTTAACTAAGTACCAAGTTTACACAGCTACAGTTTGGCCACATTAAACAATGAGATGGATTATTACTTCCTCGTTTCCAGTTTCACTTAACGGCCACAAACTTAGCCATTACTTGCTGAGTAAATGTAACTTGTGATAGCCAAGATTATATGGCTGAGTCGATCACTTGTTTGGTATTTAGTTAGCATTTATAGTACAAAGTGTGTTTATCTTTTTTTTTGTCAACGCCAGAAGCATTTCACAAGAGAGTCACGAGAGAATAAATGTTTAGTGGATGTGCCGGAGATTGAACCCGTCCCTCCCGCACCGAAGTCCGAGACGCTAACCACTAGGCTAGCAACACAACCAACCTTTTCAGTTTTTCCTTTTAGTTTCTCAATATGGGTCATAAATTGTTAAAAATATATCATAGCATGTATAACTGACTAGCCGTTTCTGTAGGGCCAAATCAAAACAACAACCATCCATGTTCATCGTATATATCCGTTCCTGGTCTAGTGGTAGATATTTGTTGGACTATTCTATCTAATTTGTATTCAAAATCACCCAAAAATTAATCATTAACACATTTTCGGTAAATGTATAAATCCGTACATTGGGTTTTGGTCAGCTACAGTGTTATAGAATGTCTTGAGGGCTTTGACTAAAAGGAAGATTTAATCCCTTACAATGGTATACTTCATTTTTTGGTCAACTCATGTGTTATATTAAAATATTTATGTAAATTAATTTCTCAATGGGATCTAATGTTTTTCTTCTTTTTGAATAACTTGTTCATTGTGGGTGGCTTTATCCCGAAACAGGTACACTCAGAACCAAACCCATGGATCAGTTTTGAGGTTTGCCTTTTGAGGCTTGCAATATCATTAGACTAATTGCAGAAACCTATAGAGCTTAAATGGACTTATTGCGAAGCCCAAACACTATAGATGATTTAAACAGTTGTATTATGAGTCACCGAAAAACTGAGACCTTAACTTAATGTTTTGAAATTTCTATTTTAACAACGGAGCATATAGTATAGAACTAATTTGTAAATATTTTCAACGCGAACAAGGTTAAATATAGTATGAAACTTGTAATTTAAGAAAGCTCTATTTGACAATCCAAAAATAAATGTCCTAAAATCTTCGTTTTTTGTGCTGGTTATCTTAAAATAGTACAACTGTATGTAGTAGTCTAGAATAGTCTTGCAAGAGATGGCAGGTAGAAACATTGAAAACGTATGTTATCATTAATATTGGGATCTTTTGAAAAAGTTATCTGTGAAACGATTATCTATGATTTATCTGTTTTGATTTATCAGCAAGAATTACATGGTGTATGCAATGAACTTGAATATTAGGAATTCAAGGTTACAAATAATGTTTAACACACAGCTATGTTTTATGTCTGTATGTTTTGACAGCTAGGATAATCAACTTAAATTAATTCTTATCTAAAAGACGTACAGTTTAAAGCATCCCGAACCATCAAGTGACAGCATTTTTCAGTGAAAGGTTATTGGTGTTTATTAGTATTGGAACCTGGAGCTCTTTAAAATACATCGTGCACTTTAAACCCTACTCCAGCTGTGCTTCACGGCTACAGAAGATCTTTATCCCACAGGCAACGTCGGACTCCCGGCCAGATTACTGTTATTACCATAGCAACAGGTTGGCCTGTGCGACGTTGCCACATTAACTTTGCAGCCTTGTATGAAATTAGACTATGATATAAGTATCATGGGTAAGCCTTAGCACATTGATAAGGCCACAGAAAGTTACCAGTCTCGAACCAGTAATGCCTGTCTTACCAGTCTGTGCTCTATATGATGGTACCTGACTCCGGACTCTCTGCCTAGGGACTGCCTAATGGTTTAAGACCCTAGTCAGTCATAGGTAGATGAAGAGTCAGGAGACAAGTTCCATTGTACATACTATAACGGGCTACCACTGATCAACTCTGTTTGGTAAGTCCAGGAAATATCAAGTTGTTAAAACAACAAAATGGAAGAAAAATATTAAAGCTTAAGGACTGTAAATTCCAAACATGAGAGTTGTATTGTAAATTTGTAAATCACAAACATTTCCGATACGAACCGAGTCGATTCAAGTGGTACTTTATTCAAGTAAGGTTTTAAGTACAGTACTACGTATCGGTCCGACATTTTCGAGTAACAACTCAGCTAAGTTAGAGCTGTATCCAATTCAAAGTTGCGAAGAAATTTTCCAAGTTCAGTCATTCGATACAGGAGGTCTTACACTTCTATGATTTATCCAATTACAAAGTTTATAAACTTTCTCAAAACACGGCTCAGTATGTATCATTCCCTGGAAAAGAAATGTAGTTTGACAGTTTGAAATGAGGTTTAAATTATACTTTGGTTGAGTTTTGATTATATTATTGATTCACAGAAATTATAATTGGTGTTTTTCGAAATTAAGTGGAAAACTATTTGGTCTTCATTTGAACCACATGTCCTTAACCATTGGGATTATATGGGTGGTGGGTGTTTAATTGTATTTTTCACCACACTGTGATGTTTTTAGCGGTTTTAGATACGTTATTTGGTGGCTGAAAGTTACGTTATGCTGGCCATGTATGACCATTTTATGGTCGCCATTTCATAAGAAAGTATAAAGTAAAGTATGCCAGCTGTTATCGTTATTTGGGGACCGAGCAGGTTTTTACATCCCTAGGGCCGCAAAATCAGCTGCCCGCTTACTTACTTAAAACATGAATGCATATTAAATACACAATCAGTATCCAGCACTGCAATAGAATTGTTTTACTGTATTATCACCGTTGCCTAGCAACTATTTATTTTTATTTTTGCTGATTCCTCAAATTATATCTTCACATAACCTTAAATTTTTAGTTGTGTTGACTATCAGTGTGCGTTATTATAGTGGTGAATAGTGGTAATAGGGTATAGTGTGGAGAAAAATAGCGTTCGTACCACGGACCGAAATGGTTTTGCAGCTCTCGATCGATTTAAGTTCTCGACTTCGTCAATGAATACAAACCACTTCGTCTGGAACTTAAAAACTATCTTGAGATACATTTCAAAAGAGATTGTATTCAATACAGTACATTTATAATACATATTAAATTTTTAAGCTATTCAACTTGCTTAAATCCATTCAATTTTGGATCTTACACTTATAAATTATACATGAAACGAATTGCATAGCATCGATTTGCAATTTGAACCAAAGAACAAAATATATAGTACCATTGACTATATATACCTATACGCGAAGTAATAGTAAAAACTCCGTTGAAGCACAGATATAATATCAGGTTTGTATAAATGTGGAAGTCTGCAAACCTCATTACAATGGTTTGTTTGAGAAGATCGCTGTCGGTGGTTCGTTAAAATTATTTCGTGGTGATTGTATGTTTCCGAGAGGTAGCGGATTCTCGCCCTTAAAATTTTGTCTCCTGGATCTGTTCTTTTACTCTTTAGAATAGAAAGAAAGACTAAGCAATAAGCATGATTGTCTAGTAATAGTGCTAACTAGATAATCAGAACGTAGTCGATCTGATTTTGGAAAACTGTAGATTTTGAAGGTTCAACTATTGATCCAGCTGTCCATTATTGAACTTGTAATTAGAAACAGCTGGTCAAGCAAAGCTACAAAATCATCTCACTCTATTCTCTGTATCATAACCTCCTTAAATGGCCTTGGCTGTGGCGTTGGTGTGGCAACGTCGCACCGGCCTGTTGCCATGGTAATAACAGTAATAACGTATAAATATTGCGCAGACGCTCCATTATGAATAAACGCCAACAGCTGTTTCGGTAGGCCGAATATGCAGTGTTGCCAACTTTGTCTCGCCGCGGCCTTGAAATAGAAGAAGCCATTATTGATAAACACAGATTATTCTTAGATCATATTGGGGCATTTACCTCATGCACTACCTAACCATGCCTTTACCATGGATACCATGCATTTACCTAACTTTGTAACCTGTTCTCCCTCAAACTCTGTAAATATTTTGACAAACTTATTTTCTATCATAGTTAAAACATACAATTTTGATGGTGAATTAGGCATATGTAGGCATTCCATTTACTTAGAGCCAGTAGTTTACTAAGATTAAATAATCCTTAACACATTCAATTGAGCTCTTCTCAAACCAGTTTAAGATTTCTTTCCATATATTTGGTGTAATTTTACCAAATCCACAGCTTCACAACTGTTCTGTTTTTAAAACCAAAGTGTAAGAGACAATTGTAAAATCCATGCAAACATATTTAGTGGATATTTGCACTGAAGCGTGACCTGAATAAACCATGCAGTAAAATGGCCTTCGAACGATACAAAACAATGAAAATTCTATTTAATCCAATGATTTAGTTCAAAGAGAACAAACAAAGTTGATCAACGTCCTACAGATTGTGTTTCTATTGAATTTTTATTTTTTAAGTTTTCAATATTTAATATTTTCTCAACTCATCAAATTATATAATTTTTAACTACCTCTAGTAAGCGTTTACAGTACTAATCATGTCTTTTCCTGGATTTTAAAATGACAATTTTGTTTTTTAAACCCAATTTTTTTATGACAAGAAACAAATACACGTCTATTTCGAGCCAAGTTAACATCTTGAATAAATAACCCACAGTCTGTCGGAAAGTTTCTTCACGAAGAGAATATTGGTAAGACTGATCCGCAAGAATAAGCTTCTTACCTTAATGGTCTATTCGGTCAAATATTACACGTTGCCTTTAAACACCTTCAATAAACGGAAATCCTCCTAGTTTATGACCTTAATATCCTTCAAAACTTGTTTATTAAGAATACTAGCTTGAATTTATCGTTTAAAAATGAAGGTGCAGTATTCTGCTCTTTTAGTGGATAAAAAGTTCTCTAAATTCAGAGAACAGTCCCCTCGCTTTATATATATATTAGCAATCCTATTTAGCTTAAAATTTGGCCGTATCTCTGGGTCATGGCATTATTTTATAAGTTAATATACATTATTGACCTTATATTAAATACGGGTCTTCAAAATATTTAAAAGTATACCAAAAATTGTTCAATTATTAAGAAATGTATATAGATAAATCATCTCATGACAGAAGGCAGACTAGAGAACCTTACTCCAAACAAAAGTGTTTTATAGCAAACAAGAAGATTTTACGTTGGATTCTAAATGTTATATGTACATCACTTTATAAACTTCCACCATTTTTTACCATACTTTTTGTAATTTTAAAGAAAATACTGTTTTCTTTTGTGCGTTTTAACGCCCTTGGCAATTTTGAACTTTTATCACAGTCCAAATATTTGGCAAGTTACCACAGAGAAGTACCTAACAAAATTAAAATTGCACCGTAGTTATTTTGGAGTTTTCAGTGTCATGTATTTGAATTGGAAGAAATACATGCGCATAGTGGATGAAATACAATCACAAACAACTCATGCTTGTCGAGAAGGAAAACCAGAAAGGAACCTCATTATAACAATATGTTAGCGAAGTTTCTGTCTGTAGCTTCATTAAAGTACACTAAGGAGTTGATTGTGTATTGTGCAATCGATTTATAAATTAGTTAAGTGTTTAAATTACTTTTTGATACGTTATAGCATTTTATATATTTCATTTATTTCATGAAACACTTCCCCCCTAGCATTTTATTTATTTCAAACAGTTCGCTTTCAAAGATCCAGTGATGCTTACCATCTTTTTTGAACAATTTATTGCAAGTTTTAATTTAACAGCTGATCCTTCAATTGAATTTTGATTCCAATGAGATGGTTGATTTTTCAACTTGTTCCAACAAAACAAAATGTTACTGTAGATTTTCTAGCATAGTTGCCGTGCACTACCACCAATAATTCTAGCTCATTGTTGCAATTTCTTTTATCATCTAGTCCACGAAATTGAAAAAAATGTGTTAAAAGGTACTAATTACGTGTCTAGCGACTGAAGCACAGGAATCTGGTCGTAGAGTTTTTGGTTCGATCCCCGCTAATCACGAATCATGTTTAATAGTGTCCGAGTGGTTTGTAGCCTATTTTCGCACTGAAGGTGGATGTATAAAGTACAAAAAATACTTCTTACGAATGACTGGCTCTGTTATAGATCTCCTTTCATGAAATGTCTACATTCCAATGTGTTTTATAGGCATTTGTATTTCAAAATATCCTACTTTTCTCTACAAAAGTTTTACGTACGTCGGGTTCCCTCTTCGCTCGGCAAGTTTTCCAATCAGGTCAAGTTGGGAAGCAGTTGCCAAGTCTTAGAGGCAGTTGCTACAACTTGCGTCGTTACCTGTAAATTGTTCGTCTGCCACTCCATCGTCTGTCACAGTGTTTGAGGAAATGTGTAATAAATAAACTGTGGATGGTTTCATCAAACTTAAACTTTAATTAGATGTAAGTTTTTTAGTTCATTTGGCTTAGAAGTGTCTATAAGTTTTCGAGGTTTTAAAATGTCGTGGGCAGTTGAGAAATTTAAATTGTGATGCAGATAAATTCATGCAAAACGAATTTTCGTGAGATTTGTTTTAATCCTTTTACATTTTTGTAGATGTGTGGGCTATCAACTCCGTCTCCCTCTTGCTGTATAGTTTGAGAAACAATCCTTCAAAATAGATAAGACTTTTCAGAATTTGGTAATTTGCATAATTTTATCACAACTTTTTTTCTTACTGAACTTTTTTTATTACTTGGATTGACTACCATTCAGCTCAATCTACGTTGAAAAAAAACTTAGCTATGTGCTTGAAAATCGACCTTCTGAAATACATATTTCATGTAGGCTTAAACTATTTTAAAACTCTACTACTCCTGTATTCTTTCATTCATGTACGTATAATGTCTGTAATGATGATTAATTAATTGAAATATTGATTGACATTAGTTACACAAAAACAAAGGTTAAACTCAATTTTAATTAGTTGCTACTAGCTTTACCTTCAGAATAAAATGTATCACTTATTTTGATTATGTCCATGCTACATGATACATTGAAATTGATAAGAGAAATATTAAAACTCACCCTATGTGCTCAGTCTCCTTTTATCTATGGTACTACACAGCAAAGTAAATTTAGACTATATTAAGCTGAAGGATTACTCTATAAGATGTTGGGCTCTGGGTTATTCAATAAGCTAAATGAGGAGTAAGGTGGAGTTTTATTTATGACACTTTATGACACATTTAAACAATTTTTTAACTGTTTCAGGATCACAAATGCCACCATTGTGCAGACAAATAACCACGTTTAACTGAAGGTAAGCTCCTTCTTACATGATTAGACTATTATCAAGAATAACTTAAACCGTAGTGTGTCCAGTTATAACTTCCTATAAATTGAAACTTTGGCAAAATCGAACAACCTTCTTGTAATATAAAAATAGACCTCCGACCACATGGACCTGTCAACGTCAGCTGGTTCTTAAGTAAAACCAAACAACCAAAGTAACGTTGTAATATCTGATGTCAAGATGTCAATCTTTATCGAATCTCTTTTGTGCTTCTTTGAAACACCGAGGAAGTTTACTTTCGTTTTAGCAATACAACTTTTTATAACTCTAAGCACAGGTTTTAAAGTGCCCTTTCTTTAGTTTATGAAAGATTTTGTTAGTAAAAATATTTTCACTAATATTAGTTATGGTTGGAAGTGGTATAAAATAAAAACAATCAGAATTTCTTTTAGTTTTCTTTTGGAATACTAAACCGCTTAAAAGGTTTTGTAATATTTATAATCTTAAGAACAATAACTTAACCATGAAGGCTCATCTTTTGGTTACCAAGTTCTTGGAGATAGACAGGGGCGGTTTCAGGGGGGGCTGGGAGGGATATTTCCCCCCCAAATATTTTATATTTTATTAGCTAACATAAATACTATTAGCTTGAGCATATTTTAGAGCTCAAATACTTATAAATATACGTTTTTAGGCTTTAAAATCCACATTTTTATGGGGGCCCTAACCTTCTTTTTTGGGGGGATATTCCATACCCCCAGACCCCCCGGTGGTCATCCCACCCCCGAAATTAAATCCTGGGACCATCACTGAAGATAGATATGAAGAGCGATAAAAATAAAAATACAACATATACATGCTTGATGCTTATAATTTGTGGAATCCTAGTTGTTAATCGCCTTTAAATATGTATTGACATTCGAAAATAGTTGTATTTTCTAGGAAGGTACTTTGACCAACAATATTACTGTAGAAATATTTGTCTAACAACATACCACCGACACACATCTATACATACAACACAACACACACACATGTAACATATTCCGACTATTGCTTTACTTATCTGTTGTAGTTTCTTATGTTTTACATTGTTAATTGATTCTTGCTATAAACATATTCATTTAATGGTAATAAAAAATGTGATTCTGATTTATTATAAGATTTAATTTTGTTTAAAGTATTAATCTAATAGCTTTAAACTTGAAGTGTGTTACTAACCTAGTGGTTTGATGCCACTTTACCATTCATATTACAAATATTCAAGAGTTTTGGACCAATCCTATCAAAGGTGTTTGACATTTACTCTGACTAAATTATACTGTCATTTTGGCGTTGAGTGTATACACACTGGTGTTTACACTTACAAAGTAGACAAATAAACAAGTTCAAATGCTTAAAAGTAATTAAAACTTTTTTAACCCAATCAAAATACTCTACACCGATCCAAATAGTTTAAAACTAATTGCAATCTAGAGACGATCGATTTTATCCAACTAACAATAGAAACCGACCGTTTCTGTTGCCATAGTACTAAAAACTACTCCTCTTGATTGCGCAGATAACAATCCAATTCATCCACTACAAACCGGATTGTATCAGGGTACTTCAACACTAAAACCACTTGCTTGAACACTACAACTGCTGAGCTTTGTGATAAGCTAGTGCATTGGATTGCAGTGCAATGTGGTAATACTTTGGTTAAACTACCCTTAAGGATCTGTGGTTGAGTCTAGTTATCTTAAGTTGAACTCGCAATGAATCGGGCCGTCACAAACAACCTGTAAATCATGTAAATTTATAGTATTGAATTTGTATTTAAACAGGTCCATGTTAGAAGATACACACTACATTAATGCTAATATATATATGTACTACTGGCCAAATAAATAATTAATGAGGATTCCTGACTTCAGGGTTACGCTAAGCTCTTTTTTATAATTTTTTTTTAGCGGAATATTTTTTACAAAAATCTATATTTCTCCAAATAGAGCCATGATCTGCGTTTACATCTTCCAATATTTGGTCTACAAACCTTGCTATTATAGTCCTCGCCACCCTAAGTTGAGGCAGGCAAAGGCCGCACTAGATACACGCCGTGCGGCCTTTGGCTGCCTCAACTTAGGGTGGCGAGGACTATAGTATAATAATTTAAATCGCTGTATTAAATCGCTTCTCTTTCTAAGCTTATATATAATTTAAACCAAAAAATGTAAGTGAAAACCAAGTTTGAGGCATACGGCAGCAACTACATATTAGTCAAAACTTATACGTTTATTATTTACGAAAGACTCTATGCCAACATGTACGTTTACCAGCAACTCTATCCTTATAGATAACGAAGAAACTAACTGTTTATTTCAACATTATAAATTAATTAACAATTAATTATTCTTTTCCCTGAGCAAACAACTATTTTTGTCAGCGTCGTTTTTCCGTGAAGGCCTAACACTCTTTCTACCCCTATGTATGTTTCATGTGAACATAATTTTCATTTAGAAACATACCAAAGATTAAAACAAAACACAACTAAGCTTTGCTAAGTTTTATTCGAGCCACAAAATGTGATTAATGCAATAAACGATGTGGTTGGAAGGTTATTGCGTGGTAAAGCAGGCACTAAAGCACCGACTAAGCCTCGCCTAATGGTGTGGCTACATCGAGTATAATAAGGTTGGATAAATTTGTCTTGTGAATTTAAAACAGTTCCTTACTGTATATATTAAATAGTAGTAAAAATCTAATTTCGTATTTATGCTTCATTTGTTTTATAGAATTACTAGCTGCTGTACCCATGCTTTGCAACGAGAAGAGGACACAAAATAGAAACATTTTGATCTTTACATTTGTTTTATAAAGAAGTTACACATCCACTAACGCTTTTAGAAACAAAATTCGGCTGCCCTTTAGTATCCATTGACATAAATAAAAAACATATTCTATAATGAAGTTTTATATTAAATGTAATAGTACTGCACCCTGTTGGTAAACCTTATAACATGTTAATGCTATTTAATATCATAAAACCAACTTAAACAGCTGACAAAATGCGTTTATTCCTTTTAAATATGAATACTCATAAGGTTAACATGGGAAACTCCAGAGCCACTGGGGCGGAGCCCGAAAGGACTTTTGAGATAAGAATGCGTCTACATGTTGAATGCAAGCTATCATCACACCAAATTTTAGCCCAATCCGACCAGTATTTTTTGCGTTTACTTGTCACAAACATACATACATCCATACATCCAAACTTTCTCATTTATAATATTAGTAGGACTGTGCTTGATACTGTGCTCTAGGCCTATGTCCAAATTGGCGTTCTAAATTGTTACTTATACAGAATTGTTTTAATAAAATCAGTTATGTGAATATCAGTTTTAGTTTCTTAACACTCTGTAGAGGTAATAGTTGGTGTACCTAGTTTTACGCATACGTATATAGGTACACCATATATAGTTATACGTATATTTTCCTTATATTTAAGAATAATACCTTGTACCTAACGTTCAGGCGACTAAATTATTTGTGAGGAGGACAATGCTTTAAAACTATTTTCATGTATCTTAATCTTTTACTAAGCTTTTATCTATCTATTAAGGTTTTATCTATCTATACTATTATAAAACTGAGGTGGTGTCTGTCTGTCTGTCTGTACAGCTGCCACGACATAAATACTAAACTGATACACCCCAAATTAAGCACAAAGATGGTCCACATATCTAGGAATATCATAGGCATATTCACTTCCCAGAGTTCCTCTCGGGCTACGCTCCTTGGATGACCAAAGTTTTGAGGTGAGTTTTTCAAAAGTAAATAATAATTGGTTTCCATGGAATCATTAGAAAATTCACAATATGTTTACCTTTGCGTTTTAATTTTAATTTAAACAGTCAGAACTGCTAAATGATTGTTTCACAATTTCAGACAGCTGATCCAAACAAATTGAATAAAATATTTTACACAACAAAACATGAGGTAGGTTTATTTATGCCATTGATTATGGAAAATTATAACAGTAGACAATTACAAGGAAGGTAATAATTTTTTGTTTAGATTTGTTTGCTCTTTGTTTATAAATTTGAAGTACTTAACAAATGTTTGGATTAGGCTGTATACTACATCTTCCTGTTGCGAAGCAAGGGTACAGCAACTATTCTGTATTATTTTTAAATATATATTATATAAAATGTATTTCAATTATATATAAGGGATATTAAATGTAAAAAAACGATCACGTAAATTTTTTACAGACAGATTTATCAAAGTACGCTTTTCTGCATTTAATTTTAAAACGAACTTGCATTGTAAATTGAAAAATTTACATTACGTGCTATTGGTTGTTACCAGGGGATTTATTTAAGTGGTGAAGTATTATTAAGGATTTTATGTCGTTAATAAATTAATTAGACAAAGTAAAACGTTCTACAATATTTAAATGGTCAAAGGAGACTTGGAAAACAAACTATAATTTTTCCCAAGTATTTAGGGTACTCCCATAAGGGTATAGTTATCATTTAACTATGACTAGGTACACAGTAAACCACAGTATACGCCCTATGTCACATCGCCAAAGCCCGAACAGCTGATTAAATGTGATCAGTTATTGGCAAGCTGTCTGAAGCGTTAGTGGCAAGGCCCAGATGAAATTTGATGTTCACCTAAAATGTGGCTTGGTTTCCAAGTATGTTATTACATTATACAGTACAGAGACATTTTCTGTACTAGATTATTAATAAGGAGTTATTTTGATGGCGTGAAAGAGTTGGGTTTTTTATACAATAAAACATCTTGGTGTTTATTTTCCATTGTTACTTTCTCCCATCTATAACTACATTCTATCTTTACTCTAGATTATTTAGTTTTTTTTCTTATTGGATACCGATCATATTCTTGTTTAACTTAATTAATTTACATATTTTTTACTACATAAACAAGAATAATGTGTTATACTAACTATCTTCTGTTTATGCTTCGATACTGCGTTTTTTACTTTATGTCGTTTTATTCCACAAGTATCGATGATT